TCTTCACATCTCATCTAAACCTCCCCTCTTTGAGCTTATACCCATCACCCCTTGTTCTGTCACTCCCTGCCCTTGGCCAAAGTCCCTCTCCAGCTTTCTTGTAGCCCCTTCAGGTACTGGGAGGCCGCTATAAGATCTCCCTGGAGCCTTCTCTTCTCCAGGCTGAACAACCCCAACTCTCTCAGCCTGTCCTCACAGCAGAGCTGCTCCAGCCCTCGCATCATCCTCGTGGCCTCCTCTGGACTGGCTCCCGTAGCTTCATGTCCTTCTGCTGTTGGTGGCCCCAGCACTGGAGGCAGCACTGCAGGTGGGGTCTCACCAGAGCAGAGGGGCAGAATCCCCTCCCCTGACCTGCTGCCCACGCTTCTCCTGCCTGCTGTGTGCAGAGGCTGAGCAGACACTGGGGTGCACCAAGTGAGGAACAGCAGCATTGATGCTGCTCTGAGTGCCATGTGGTTTTGAAACCATGCAAAACACTTTGGGGAGGAAGCAGAAGCTCAGAGTGGTGCAGGTGTTCTTGGTGGAATAATTTTTCTTCTTAAAGTTTAAGGTTTTACCACAGGCTTGAAAATATTTTCTGCTTAGTTTTAAAAGTGTCAAGTTCTGCAGTTTGTGAGTATGTGAGAGTTGCAGCTCTTGATTTATTTTTTTCCCCTTTAGCTCTTTTGGTCACAGGGGAGAGCTTGTGAAATTAACCCAGGTTTAACCTGCAGGTCCAAAACACCCTGGATGGATGTTGGCTGGATAAATCCAGCACTCACTTTTTTCCCTATGATCAAATGATTTTTACAACCTATCTGATGATGCTGACAGAGGTTGCCCAAAGAGGTGGTAGAAGCCCCATCCCTGGAAACATTCAAGGTCAGGTTGGACGAGGCTCTGAGCAACCTGATCTGGTTGAAGACGTCCCTGCTCACTGCAGGGGGGTTGGACTAGATGGTCTTGAAAGGTCCCTTCCAACCCAAACCATTTCATAACTCTATGCTCTGGCACTGATAAAAATGTCAGAATTAGTGAGTTATGTGTCACTATCACTATTATGTTCTTCAGCACTTTACAGATCTCCAGTATTTCAGAGATTGGCCCGACACTGCCTAAACACGTGCTGAAATCTGTTGCTAATGTGGTATTATTTGCTGGGGAGCTGTTGGTTCCATCCATACATCTGCTGTGTATGTATGGAACTTGCATCCATACAGCTGCTCTGCTGCTTTGTCTATTGCCTTTGGAAACCAGCGGGGATTTTATTCCCATCTTGAGGAGCCACAGGCAAGTTTGCAGCAATACCGTAGACATGAGCTGATTCCATGGGTCCAATAGTTCTTTTATCCAGACTACTCATGGCACAAACATCAGAATGGGGAGGGTAGTGGCACTGAACATGAAATTAACGGACTGAGAGAACTTCTGCAGCGTTCAGTCTGAAAATCCATCAGACCACACAGAAAGGACCATCAGAGAGGAAACCAAACCAAGTGTGAGGATAATGGTGCTTTGGGCTTTTTTAAATTGCCATTCTGATTTCTTTTTATCAAAAAGAGATGATTCTGTTGTTAATACTTCATTAGAACCAGTTAATTGGCTCAATTCTTGAATGACCAAGAATCTCCTTATGGGTCATATGTCTGGTTGCAGGAGGCACAGCTGAACCACACCAGACCATTGAATTCTGCTGTTGGCTGTGCCTTCCCCTGCTGCTGCACTCCCAGGCGTGCTGCATCAGGGCTGTGGAAGTGGTGGCAATAAGCTCTTTGACTTTTAAAAGTCAAGTCCTGTCTCCAAGTGCCCGTTTTGTTCTTACTAAAGAGCCTTTTTTGATGACTGTGCCTTGTGATGGCTGGAGAATGAGAACTCCAGTTGACCATAGCTCTGAGGCTTGTTCTCTGCAAAGTACTTGGAGAAAATGTCTTTATTTATTTTGTTCCCCACCATTTTTCTTTTCATTTAGGTCTTCATGACAGAGTTTACAGCCTTCCAGACATTAACAGTAAGTAAAGAAAGAGAATTGCAGCACGTGGCTTGCAGTTCAAGAGAGGTTTCCAGTGTCTTTCTCTTCACACCCTCCAGCTATGGGTACTCCAGCATGGTTTGGTGTGGCTGGACCAGGGAGGATGTCTCTCCACTGTGGTGGACTTGCACTGCAGTACATCTGGGGTCTCTAAGGGTAGAATCAGATACAAAAGAGCTTTTGGTTACAAGCCAAACTTGAAGCTTGCAGGCACTTGTCATCTCAATGCACTGATGTCATGCACTTAAAGCTGGTCATGTTCTTAAGGAACCCATTGAGTTTGGGACATCCGCTTGTGTTCCTTATGAGCCCTTGCAGGAAAGATTCACTGCACCTTGCCATTTGATGTAGGAAAAAGCATTTTATCTACCTTGACTTTGGACTTGGTCTGGTATTTGTGCTGTTCCAAATGTACTGCTGGGCTTGGTAGTCATCTGAGTACAGAGATGAGGACCCAGAAAGGAACAGGTCACTGATAAATAGTGGAGCTGGCTGGTGGGAACCAGGGACAGCAGAAGCAGAGTCATGTTGGGCTGAGCTGTGGTGCTTTCAAAGGCTGGAGTCACTTGGGTGGACCTCGGGGTGATGTCTATGGTGCAGATGCCCTTCATCTTCCTGCAGTGGTCACTTCCACATCTGTGATGGTGCACAGCTGGATGGGGGAGTGATGAGAGGCCAGCCAAGGTTTTGTAAGATCAAGTGCTAAGAGTGGGTATCAGCAGTGCTGCCTGGGAACTGCACCCCAAAGAGCTTCTACCCTCCAGACCTGCAGCACTGGGGCTATCTTGAGATGTTCCTGTCCCTTTCCCATCCTTTGTCCTCTTCCCTTCACTTGTGCAACCTACTGGCCATGGTGTAGTATGCAAAAAAAAAAAAAAGTCTAAAAAGAAAACAAAATTTTGGGAGTTATTTCTAATCTGGGCCTTTTCATCCCAAATAAGAAGCATGGTCTCACCTACAGATGCATTGGTGTGACCACCACAATGGGGACTTACCTCCCCCAAGAATGGGGTGCAGGAGCTGCCCATACACAGTGTGGCATTGTCTCCTGTCCAGGTGGATGCCAGCTCCTCACCAGTGGTGGCACTGGGGATGACAGCGATGATGAAGATGATGTCCTTCACGGAGCTGAAGCAGAATGTTACAGCAGAGTAAGCATTTTCTTCTGGGGGTCCTTCTGCCTCTCTCTGTGCCCTCAGCTGCTGCTGGCCTGCCTTGGGTGGTGGTGGTGGTGGCAATGGTGGTGGCTTCCTGTGCCATGTGCAAAATGGGGTCTTTCTCAGTTTTCCTTCTCTGAGATGAGCCCTTCTCCCAGTTTGCATAGAAACAACCAAGTCAGTAAAGTCACAAATACTTGTCTTCTGGAAAAAAAAGACCCACTCTTGACACTCAGGAAGTCCCTAATTAATACAAAAGTCCCACTTCCTACTCATGTCATGAGAAGCCACCTGTTTGTTGGGGTTTTTTTGCTAGAAGCACTCTACCTGGTGGAGTAGCAAAGCACAGCTGGGTTCATGACTGAGTTGTCTCCTGGGTTTTTCCGGGACTATGTGTATGGATTGAAATGCAGATTAAGAAGCCAGATGGGAAGTGTATTTATCCCTGCAGCAGGTGAGAAACCTGCTGATGTGTTTGAAATGCTGGTGGGGTTACATACACACTGTTATATAGCCTACTGCTGTGGGTATGTGCTGCATTTCACACATTTGATACTTCATTTTGATCTCCTGAAGTCTTAGAGGATTGTCCAAGCTAGTCCTGTCCAAGGCAGCTGATGACCTCCCAAATATCTGGGGAGATCTGCCCATAGCATCCTTTCTCTGAAGACATGGAGATGGTTGAGGACTGGAAAACATCTCCTGGATCTCTGAGCAGTAACCTGGCTCAGCTTTCCCATAGTGCCTTTATAAACCAGGACAGAGCTTCCCACTGTCTGCTGGTGGCCACAGTCCTGATCCAGAGACACTGGAAATTAGGAACCTGCTTTTCCTTGACTCCAGCATAAGCACACACTACCCTATATACCTGGCTCCCTGCAAGCAGGACAATATCAGATCCACATTTGCTCTGCAAAAAGCAGGAGCCTTGTTTTGGGCTGTGCAGATTGAGGCAGAAGAAGCAGACGAGGGCTCTCCCTCTCCCTTTCTTCGAGGTCAACTTGTGTTTTACGGTGGATTTTCCTTTCTTGCACTTCCCACGCTGACTAAGATGCGCAAGACAAAGCGCCTGCTGTCTGTCCATCCCTTTGATTTTGAACTGGACTCGGAGTACTCTGCTCAATCTCGTCGCGAGTCTGTCCAGCTCTCTCCAGCAGCCAGCAGCCCGGATGTTTTCCAGGTACTGGGAGAGTGCTGGGGGGTTGCTTTCCTCTCTTCTTCCTCCTCCTGGTTACCTCTGCTACCTCCTCCTTCAGCTGGTTTTGAGAGGTGATGGTGCTGATCCTTGCTTCTCATAGCCCTGCTTGCTATCTTCTGCTATTTCAAGTCCTTGGCCTCAGGCTGAGTCAGGAGTAGGACATCTGACTGAAGTGAGGATGTGGTAGGATGTGATAGCAAGAGGCTCTCTGCAGACAACAGTTTTTGTGTTGTCCCAAGGCTATGGGACACCCTAGTTTCCAGCGAGCTTCTGGAGGTTCAGTACTTGAGGGATGAAATGAAACCAGACTCCTCTCCCATCAGCTGGCCTGGTTTGGGGCTGGTTTTGCTGTGTGGTGACACTGGGGATGTAGTTGGCTGGTAGCTTCATGGCACATGTTAACCTTCTGAGATTGAGAAGATGAATCTTCCAGTGCCGGGGATGGCATCTGTAGAGTGGGGGTCCCCATCAGCCAGAGGGGAGAGTGAAAACTGCATGAACGTTGATTACTTTTGTACGTGATATTATGTGTCTTAGTGTCAGGAGCTCCTGACCAGGAGTAAAACCCACAGGCAGCTCTAGCACCAGTGAGCTGCACCCTGTGGTCCCAGTAAGGACTTGGGGGTCAGCTGTCCCACACAGATGGGGCTGCCCTGGATGTGGCAAAAGGTATTCCAGCCTGAGATGCTTTAGATGGAGCTTTTAGGGCTTCTCCTGCTTGCCTGTTGGAATTTCACTTTTAAAATATTAAACAGCTCTTTATTCCTTCTAATGATACTATGATACTTTAAACTCCACTCCTGGGTAAAAGGAGAACGTGCTGAGATGAGTAACAAAGGCTTTAAAAAAAATTCACACTATTTCATGTAAATTGATAAGGATTTGGGGTAAACAAGTAGATTAATTCTTTATTATTGAAGCCCATCCTTATACAACAGAATTCAACTCGAGTTTAGGGAGAGCTGGCCTCTGAGATTATCCGAATTGGATTTGTTGGTTGAAGATTATTTGAGGTGGTGATTGTTTGAATAAACAAAAAAGTGTGATTGTTTAAAAGACTACAGAGATTTTTACAGCCCAGCTGAAGGGACTCAGCCTCGTCCTTGGAAAAATTCACAGTGCCCCCTGGCAGCGATGAGAAATAGTGCTCAGGCTTCATCAGCAAGGTCATTAAGGCTTTAAAATGGATAATTAGGAGCTGGCATTGTAAAAGGTTAGTCCATGCATTTATTGGAGGAGTCACCACCCCTGGAGGTGTTTAAAAGATGGGTAGATGAGATGCTCAGAGAGATGGTTTAGGACAGGTAGGGTTGGACTCGATGATCTCAAAAATCTTTTCCAACCAAATGATTCTACGATTCTATAAAGCTAGGACCTGTTGTCGAAGGTTGGGAGAGGCAGGGAATCTTCACGGGCAGCTGCTCAGCAGCAATCCTTGTCTCTCAGTCCTTCCCAGATTTCCCCAGTGCAGCTGAAGATGCCTCCCCAAAGGAATCCAGGATCACGGAGGCAGATCTGGTTTTCCACCACGTCTTGCAGGAACAGGGAGCGGGTGTGAGCCCTCCGGAGCAGCACTTCAGCACAGAGGTTCGGCTCACTGTCAATTCACGGAGAAGGAGCCTGGAAAGAAATGTAAAACCTGGTAGGTGTCTCAGGCCAGGCTCGTCCTGTATCCTGGAGAAAAGTGGTTGCAAGAGTTGGACCCAAATGAACATATCTTTGACTTTTTTTTTCTTTTTAATAACCTCAAAGCCACTGTGGTGGTTGCACTGGGCTGCAGCCAGACACAGCCGCTTACTCACTCCCCCCATCCAGGAGACAGGGGAGAGAATTGGGGGGCAAGGGGAAGGACACTGGTAGGGTGAGAGAAGAACAGTTTAATCATGGAAATAAAAGAAAACTTAAAATAATAATACTAATAAAATATGCCAATGAGTGATACCCAGTGCCATTGCTCACCACCCGCTGACCAAGCCCGGCCCGTTCCCAGATCATGATCCCAGAGGAGCAACAATCCCGACCCGAAACCGCAATCCCGGGAGAGCCAGAGCCCGAGCGAAAGCCAGAGAGAGCAAGAGAGGAAGAGCCCCTCATGGATCTCCTGCCCATGGGGGACAGGAGATGGAACAGCCCCTTGGCAGAGCCCAATGCCCATGGAGCTGATCCATTGCAATATTCCTCACCCCCTCCCAGACCTTGCACTTGCAGACCAGCAAAACACAAAGTCCTTCAACAACTACTATTCTTGAAAGATATATATAGACACACACATGTATACACAGATATCACTCCCTTAGTTCATAGGCCATCTCTCCAAAATATGTATTGAGTCCATAACTTTGGGTTCCATCTGTCATAATGCTCTTTCAAGGCAGGAAAAGTGACGTGGATTTTGCACAGTTAATGGAGCTGGTGTCATCGGGTACAGTAGGAGGATGGTGTGTAGTCTCTGTCATGTGCTGTATCCAGAGTTTATAGTTGGTATATTTGGTATGGTCCACACCCAGGGTTGAAGATATTGATCTCAAAGAAGTTGCTGGAGTATCAAGACAAATATCCATCTGCCAGAGTGATTTTTTTTTTAAATTTATAAGAGAATCATCTGAAGTTATTTATTTGTAATGGACTGGTTTTGTCCCCAACAAACTCATTTCCCAAAGACAGAAGGGTTGTTCTTAGGGTGTCCAGCCCTTTCATATCTGCAGGTCTTGTCCAGAGTAAGAACTAGGTACAGTCAAATGACACGACTAAAAACCAGACTGGAAACAACAACAATGAATATATATATATATTCATTCATATACTTATATATATTCATACATATATTCATTCATATATATATA